GTGGGGAAGCACCAATAGGAGGTCACAGTCCAGGCTGGTCTGGGAATAATAAAATAAGACCCTATCTCAAAAATAAAAATGACCCCCACAAAAGGCACTGGCAGAGTGGCTCAAGTGGTACAGTCATATGCCTAGCAAGCGTGAGGCCATGAGTTCAAACCCCAGTACAAGAAAAATAGCAATCACTAAGCTGAGGGCCTCTTGCCCATCCAGGACAGGGTTGGACACAATGGGGGATGTGCAAGAGGCTGACAGTCCAATCAGAGGACCAAGACTTTAAAGTGTGGTTCCACTTATGTCCCTCCCACATGTGGACAGCCCAAGACTAGCAAGGACAGCAGGGTACGACAGTCCTGAGGGTGCCGGCACCTCCCACAGCCAAGTCTCCTGGGAAGCTAGCTCCCTGGGGCCCGGGGTGGGGAGCACAGAGACTCAACAGTGAAACGAGGATGACAGCGAGCTCCCCGACTTGAAAGGGACGGTACGTTTCTCGGGCCGGGACTTCAGCTCTGACTCTTGCACGGCCACTTACAGAGGAAGAGGCCCATCCAAACCTGCAGCTTTCTACCCTTGGGTTTATAAAATTGGGACTGTTTCCCTCCACCCCCCACCTTCCCCGCCACTGGCCCTGCAGAAGTGCTTGGCGTTTGTAAACCAGCTGTCTGCCATCCTGTCTGTCTGTCTTCCCCGTGGGTAGCTTTGTTCTTCGTTTGCGTTGGTGACTGCTCCCAGGGCCATCCATCACCATGTGGCTGCTGGATTCTGATGGTCTCGGATAAAACAGGGACACGGTGCCTGGAAATCCATCTTCTGAGGCCTCTTGGGTGCCAGATGCAGTGAAGGTCTGGTCCGACTCTAGAGGACTAGAGATGGCAGTGGACACCAGCCATGGCCCTCAGGCCCCTGCTGGCAGTGTCCGTTGCTGCCCGACGTGAGAGCCCAGAGACCCACTCACTACGTTCCCATGGGCACCATGACCACTGGAGGGGCCTGTGGATGGTGGGCCACCGTGGGTGCAGATGGAGGCAGAGTGGGGGCTTGTGTCATTTTTTCCGATTGGTTCAGTGGGTGAGCAAGTTAACGCCTGCACACTGGTGTGGGGAGAGGACTATGTAAAGGGGTCAAGGTGAGGGGAAGTGAATGACCCATTGGGCAGAGGGACACCCAGAGGTGAAGTCCAGCACGGGAAATGCAGCAGTTAATGAGTTTCCCTCCGAGCTCAGAGGGGAAGGGCTGGTGGGTGTCTGGAGTTTTGACCGTTGGGGCTTTGTTTAGGTGAGTGCCGGCAGGTTGGGGTGCTCCGGGGGTGGGGATTACAGCTCCCCTGCTGAGGGAGACCAGAAGTACCTGTGACCTGTGCTCCAGGGTCAGACTCCCTGCGCCTACGTTTTCTCAACTTCTTTCAGCGAGGTCATGATTTTCTGTACCCCTTATAGCCCTTCCATTAGATTTACTTGATACGTTATAGTTTAAGGTGATTTTGTGTTTATACAGGGTCTCCCTATGTAGTCCAGACTGGTCTGAAACTTGAGGCTCTCCTGTCTCAGCCGCCCAGGTGCTGGGATTACAGACATGTACCATCATGGTGAGGTGGGTGCGCCTCTGGCGTGGGTTTTGTTGGAACCTTTGGTCATGTGGTGGGCACTCCCTTTGTTCCTAGAATGCTTTTTCTCGATGACATTTGGAATGGATGCTGCTTCTACTCCTGACAAGGTATCCATCTCCGTGAGCAAGGGCTGGTGGAGTGGCTCAACCTCCAGTGGTAGCAAGTGTGAGGCCCTGAGTTCAAACCCCAGGACCGCAAAAAAAAAAAAAAAAAAGACTCCAGTTTGACCGTGAGCAAGTGAAGCAAGTGAGATGGTCTGTATGTTGCCGACTTGACTCGCTGTCTTATCTTGGATTTTTTTTCAGTCAATGACCGAGGGGGATCACTCGTTCATTCTCACTCTGCTGACCTTTTCATGCTACACACTGGGGCTTCCAACTCACAAACAGACTGCATCCCTCCATTTCCTTAGGTGTCTTCACTTTCCTTCCTGCTATTGGTCCCAGACATCTTTTGTCAGGTTTACTTGAGCTCAAGTTGCATGGCATCTCTGTGGAACAGGATTTAGGTGTCCAGCGTTATTTCTGGCACTGAGGAGTGTACTGATCTGTGGGTGTTCTTGTGACCAGCAACTCTGCCACGTCCACTTGTTGCATTTAGTCTGTCTGAGGGTTTCTGTAGATTTCTGCCAAATGTATACATCCATGTCACCTGCAATCACTGACGGTTTCTCTTCGGGCTTTCCACTTTCCTCATCTTATCCCAGTGGCTGGCTAGTTCCTCCCATCTGTGTTGCACACCCATGGGGCTTGGCAGCCTTACCTGTCACATCTCAGGAGAGGGCTGTCCACATCCACAGTTAAGGGACCTTTGAGCAGATTAAAGAAGTTCCTGTCTATTCCTAGTTTACTAACAGTTCTCTTAATTGTCATTGGGTGAATTTTTTACTTTTCTGCTTTATTAAGATAACCACATGTGAGCCGGATGTGATGGTGCACACTTCTAATCCCAGCACATGGGAGGCAGAGGTAGGAGGAGCTCAAGTTCAAGGCCAGCCTGGAGCTACACAGTGAGACCCTGTCTCAAAAACAAACAAAAAGGCTTTGTTAATGTGATGAATCACATTGGTTTTTAAAATATGACACCAAATTTTCAGGCTTGAACCCAACCCAACCTGGTCTGAACCCAGCCTGCTCATGGATTGTATGGGATGCTCACGGGCAACCCTGGACTAGAGCTTTCACTGAAATACCCGTCAGGCTTTGGCGTCGAGGTTGTGTTGCCTCATGAAATGGAAACTGAGCTGTTGTTGTATGAAGAGTGTAAATGGATGTCGTTCTTGCTTCAACAGCTGGAGACGCTTGCCAGTGAAGTGCAGGCAGAGCTCAGAGATTTTCTTCTGTGACAAGACTAAGTGACAGATAAGACTTCATAAGAAGAGAATGAGAAAGCATCAGTAATATCGCATACCATAAGACGTGCAGGTAGAGGATGTAAGGATGGGTACTGAAAGCTGCTGAAAAGTGGGAGGTGGTGGGAGGTAAAGGGGTGAGGGAGAGCAATGGAAGGGGTTGAATGGCAAAAAGTAAAGCACACCACCGTGGGGACACTTGAGACACCCCTTTGAACATCAACTTAAATATTAATAAGGAAAACCAGGCCTGTGAAATAGGCACAGTGTGTGTGTGTGTCGGGGGTGGTGGTGCAGGAAAGGGGGAAGAAGGTGGATGGACTTCGTATACCTCTATGAAACAAAACTAAGAAACCTCTCGCAATTGCTTTAAGTGGGGCAGGGAGGGGGCTGACGGGGAGACGATGGGGCAAGGTAACCAATGTACAATATAAGTCTAATCAGAATTGTCACTACGATTTCCCCGTCTCCGACAATGACAATAGCCTAATAAAAATGTCACATATCTATACATATATATATATATATATATATATAGAAGACTTCCTAATGATGGGAGCCACTAAGATGCTCCATTTCTCCCAGCACTGGTTTTAGAAGTTGGCGCTTCCCTAATGACATCGCTTCATCTACCCTTTCCAGCTCCGTGTTTTTGGAAGTGTCATGGTTCACGACCCGAGGGTCTGTGGTGCTCCTTGTGGTGGTCACGTGTGTCTGCTTTGCTTCTGGTCTGGCTGTACCAGGGGTTTACCAACTGCAATGACCTTTTCCAAGAACCGGCTTGGGTTTTGTTGGTTGATTGTACTCTACTCTACCTTTTGTTTTCCATCTCTCAAGTTTCTGCTTGTCTTTTTTTCCTGTAAGCACAGCTTTCGATGCGTTCATTCCACAAGTTTTGATTGACACATCATTCTGTCACTCAAAAGTACTTCACATGTCCGTTTTTCATTTCTTGACCTACAGGTTATTTACAAGTGTGTCTACTTGATATTGCTTATGAAGTTTTATCTTAATCCCGTTTGCTTTGAGACTATCCTGTGTGCCATCCCAATCCCGTGACCTCAGCTGAGACTTCCTTTATGGTCTGGCATGTGGCTGATTCTGATAAAGGTCCAAAGAGCACTTGAAACGCAAGTGTCCGCTCAGGCTGCTGACTCTGGTGTTCCACACACGGTACTGGGTTCGGGTGTTCTACGTCCATATGGATTTTTACCCACTGGGTTTCTAAATGTTTGTCATTGGTACTGAACTTAAAATCTTAAAACTGAGGTCTTGAAATTCCACCCCACTGTAGGTGGTCCATCCTTCCTCTCCTGGTCTGGGGTCTTTGGTGTCCTGTGTGCCTGGACGTGGGTTTTTTTACTGTTCTGTCCACTCGAGGTGGGTTCTATTCTCTGGATCCTTTTCATACCCTCTCTCCTGCTCTCCATTCTCTCCTGGATTCTTGTCCAGACATGTTTCATAGACTTTCTACTCTCTGCCTCGGGTCCTTCCCCCACCACCTCCATCTCCTGGGGCTCAACCCGCCTCAGGTGAACCTCTGGGAAGGTGAACCCTCTCCTCAGCCACCTTCAGAGGTGGCCAGTCTCCCACCTGGCTGACACAGAACCTGTCATGCTTAACATGTTAGGGAGATGCCCACCCCTTGTTTCCACACCTCGGAGATCCACTGACCAGCCCAGGAATCCCGATGGGTTGGACACGGACAGAGGCATGATAGTTTGGGACAGCAACTCTGAACTCCTTAGAAACAGCACTGAGCCCCATATTCTCAGTCAGTAAGCACAACTGTATTGGTGTTTCCCAAACCCCACTAACATGACTGCCAGAACAGTACAGAGAAGCAGACCAGGCACTGCAGGCTACGTGTGATTCAAACCACCTTCTCGCACCTCTATCTGGAACTATTTTCACTGCCTTTCAAAACACTTGGATGCTGAGGCATACCCCTGGGTACGACTGTCCCCCAGGCCTCCTGGGTGCACCTTCCTGAAGCCAGTGCATTTGTAAGAGGATGCAAAGTCACACAGCTGGGATGGAATTAGCTTTACTTTCAAGAATTCCTCCAACACTGGAGTGGGACTCCAACTGCCCCAGGGGATGTTACAGTGACTGCAGGGAGGGTCCCAGGGTTGATTCCCAGCAGCACAAGCACCCCACCCAGAATGGGGCGCCTGGGGGGGAACCAGGCAATAGCACTGAAGCTGTGTGCTCATAAATACAACTTTATTTCATTAGAAATGCATAATTACAGTGTGTGGGAACATTCCCCTAGAAAAGTAGGTAAGCAACATTTCCATCAAAATCATTAGCTGTCTTCTGCAAACACCTGTCTTCACGACACTGAACAGAGCACACAGCAAAAGGCTTCTGCTACTCCACTGGCATTTTTTTTTTTTCAATTTTCTCTTTTGTTATAAACACCATAGCAAATTAAAAAAAGCTGTTAAACAAAATATTGTAGTTCTTGTTTTCCCGAGTGTACTCAAAGCACTCTGCACTGTGCTTCTCCTCCGGGACACCAGCAGCACAACTCAACCCTGGAGACCTCAGGGACGGCTGGGATCCTCCCCGTTGAGGAGGCTTTCAACGCATCACAGAACTCACACGGTCGCCCAACTTGAAGCGTGGGAACAGGGCACGTGGAGCCAGGGCAGGACTGTCGGCTCGTGGTGCCAGGCAGCTCAGTGCTGGTGGCCCTGCTTCACTGGATCTGGATCGCTCCATGTTCGAGCTGCATTTCAGGCTGCAGGGTGGGCTGCAGGGCATCAGCCGTCTGCAAAGAGGGAGAAAGGAGGCTTTTCTAGAAAAATACCCACCAGTGTGTATCTAGGTCACTCACCTATCATAGAGTATGGTGACTTTCACACACAAAGAAGACGACACACACATCAGAGCTCTGGGGTTGCAAGGTTACACAGTGGGACGTGATCTGACATTCTTTTCTTTGTGGTACTGGGGACTGAACTCAGGGCCCCGCACTTGCTAGGAAGCGCTCTACTACTTGAGCCACCCCTAGTCCTACACTGCCTGGATATGAAACTCCAGGCCCCTGGTGCTCCGCGGCAATGCTTGGACAAGTGTGGCCCATGTCAACCCCTCACACGTGCAAACCTGGGCTGCTCCGCTGATTTTCTGTTCTCACCTCCAGGGTGTCCTGGGAGTAACTGGGGTCAGTTAACATCACGTCCTTCCCCTGACACTCACCTAGAATCTCAGGTGTCATGTCACCCGCTACCAAAATCTAATGTTAAAAAAAAAAAAAAATCATTTCAGGGGCAGCTACCTTTTCTCTTTTGAGGACACAATCCTAATCAATGACCTATGGACAACAGAAAGACTTTAGGTAAAGGACTGGGTTTCCAATCCTCTACCTTGGCCATTCCGAGTGTGGTCCCAGTGCAGGAATTGTCCTGGGTTTCTGTATGAACCCAGGAGGCCGACCTGAAGAGCAGGGCACAGCCACTGTGCAGGAGGAGGCCAGAGATGCCACAGAGCCACCACAGGCAGAAGTCTCCAACATATCACAGTCTAATGCTGTGCTTTTCAAAGAAAAATGACTCTCCACATCCGTTTCCTTAAAAGACGGGGCTTCCCGTTTGGAAAGAAGGATGCAGCGTGGGTACCAGCCACACTACCTGAAGCCCTGTGCATGGCTGGGCAGGAATAACAAGAAGGAATAAACCTGTACCAGAGACCAGGTGGCTCCATGAGTCTGGCTGAGCAGACTATGAGGGAGATCAAGCTGAGGGAGCAGCCATGGAGGCCACAGGCAGCCATGGCTGAGGCCTGCAGACCAGGAGACCTTTGCAGGCCAGAGTTTCCCCGGGAAACCTGACCAAGGCATTCCAGGGAGGGAGCCCACAGTTCCCTATCTCCCCACTGCCTGCCTGGACAGCTCTGTAAGCACCTCCAGTGCCTGGAGCAGTGTGGCCTCATAGGTCCTACAAGAAGCACTGATCACAGCTGATCAGGAGCAGAGTCCAGTGCTCAAAGCCTGACGACCAGAGGCTGCTTGTGCACTTTTGGCGGCCTTGCCAAGCAGGCTCATAACACCTGGGGGAAAGGCGGAGGTGCGATGAGGAAGGCAGCAGACCTAGCCATGCACAGACCTGAGGCTTCCTGGGTCTTTTGACATCCTTACACTGGTCAGAGGCAGGTACTCTACAACCCGCTCTGGGAAAGTGGTTGAGACTGGGCTGAGATCACAGAAGCCCACAGTCCCTGGCTTGCAGGAGAGCTGACCTGTAGCCCTCCCCACACAGGGGTGTGACCCTCTCCAGGAGGGGCATCAAACTCAGGGAAACAGGGTCTGGCCCCCAGGAGAAGCCCTGAGGCGGGGAAGGCAGGGCAGAGCTTAGTTCTTGCAACTGGACTTACAGATAAACATTTCCAAAAGGTGCGTGTATCAAGAATTGGCTCAAAATCTGGAATTGGGTCAGTTCTAACCTGTCATGCTTTCACAGAATGCCCTCATGCCTCCGTCTACCTGACATGCACTAGTTAAGGCTTCCTTGCCTCCAGGAGAAAGTCAGGTAGGAGTCCCAAGCTCAGAGTGCACATTGCGAGGACAGCAGAATGGGGCTGCCTGTGACCAGCATCCTTCGGGGAAGCAAGGACTCACCTGTGCCGCAGCTGTGTGGTCACTCACGGGTGCTAACTGGACGTACTGCACCTGGATATCACTGCCCTGGAGAGGTGAGCCATCCACTCCTGCTGCAGTAGGGTCTGAAGAAGCCACGGCTATCAACTGAGCGCCCTGCAGCACCTGGGGGAACAAAGCCAGGCTGGTCTGTGCAGCTCGGGCCAGCAGAGCAGCAAACACTCATCCTGCTGGATGAACAACAGCAGCGGTGGCCCAGGCCCACAGCAAGGCCTTGGGTGCCATGTGGTCTCACTGTCAGCTGCAGAAGGACGTGTAGCCTACCGAGTGTATATTCAAGTTCAATAGAGTCCACATGCTGCATTCACACCCCGCCTCCCTTAGACCTCTATGGCACAGAAATGTGAGGTTTCCAAGCCTTACACAAAAGCAGATCACAAGCCAGAGCTTCAAAAGAGTGAGCCAAAGGCCACTACCACCCTTGGTAGTACCAAAGTGGTACTTACTACCATTAAGAATCAGGCGATCCCATGTCCTCCAGCACACAGGCGAGTTAAAACACATACAGGAGTGTCCTGAGGGGACAGAATACCCAGGAGGTCACCACCATGCAGGTGCCTGTTCCATCTTTCTTACTCTGATGACCAGGACTCTGCTCCAGCATGGGTGTGGAAGATGAGGAAGAGTGGTCCCAGCTCCCATGAGCTCCCTGCACCCAGGCCCACGGCACTCGAAATCCACTGCTGCTCAGACAACTGGCAAGGAGGCACTGGGCAGACAAGACAGGGCCCCTTGTTCTACCGTGCAGTCACACAAGGAACAGCCCGTGCACAGAGCACCTCAGAGAGGGAGCGCATGTGCAGGAGGCCCCCCACACTGTGCAGAAAGAGCCTGGGAGCAGCGGTGCCTCACTCACCCCCGTGTGCTGCTAAAGGCGGTTACACTTTAAACAATGCTAACTTGTCCTGTCAGAAGACATGCGCCTTAAGTTGAGTGCAGAGAATCCTTTATGCTACATGCTGGGCTCACAGATCAAATCTGCTGCCTGAGTCTCTACAGCTGTGAGCTGACTGGTTTTTACATGAGTTTTAGTGATTGAAAAACCCTTTTAAGTTTGTGAATGCCCGAGGAAAAAAATCAGAAGAATGTTTCTGACACATGAACTTCTTGTGGTTTGACTGTGGCTGGTCCCTCTGAAGCTCACGCTCAAATCTAATCGCCACAGTGGTGGTGTCAGGAGATGGGCCTTTCCAAAGGACTGACACCCTTGAGGACGTAGCCCACAGTTCTTACGTGGGGGCTTGGACAGTGCCACATCTGGTTTCATTCCACTTGCTAAGGGAGGCCAAGGCAGACTTGGCTCAGGTGGTTCTGAGCCAGGCTGCTCAGAACAAGACACCTGGAGTGGCATCCCTGGCTGGGAGCCAAGAAGAAACCCAATGTCCAGCCTGTTTCCTCATGTGTCCAATCCCCAAGGCCCACTTCTCTGAACCAGCCTCTCACCTCACTCTGTGCTCTAGCACTTGAGCATAGCAAGCCTGTGTCCTTAGCCTCACAGAAGCGGCCGCCCATCCTGGATGGCCATTCCACGGGCCACAAGACTGACAAGAACATCTGGTGACAGGAAGCACAAGGGCACGCAAACTCAGGAGAGTCAGTCACATTCCTCTTTCTACCTGATAGGCCTGGGCCCTCGGCCCCTCCCCCTGTGCTCTGTGTCCAGGTTAATTACAAAGAAAAGGGAGATCGCACAGACCTGTGTGACTGGCTTCCAGGGAAGCCCAAATCTTTGCACAAGTACGTGCCTGGTGCCCCCATCTAAAAACATTCAAGCTGCTGCAGCAAGGCACGGGGTCCAGGGCATGAGCCCACCCAGTGTGGCTCTCACAGATGCTGCTGGCCTCTCCCTCCCTCCTCAGAGGGCAAGGCAGGGCAACTGCACTGACAGCCAGCCGGTAACAAGCACACCACTCAGCATATGAGGTAAAGCCCACCCCTTTCTGAGGAAAAGCTGAACAAAATGTAACAGTCCGGTCTTTCTTTCATTTTCAAGACTCTATCAAGAGAAGCCTCTAGTCTCTCCTTCCATCATGATTCACAGGGGAGGGCTTTATTTTTTCTGTCCCAGAACTACATTTCTCAGGCAATGTGGCCTTGTTTTTAAAGTTTTTTATAGACTTGAAAGGTCTTGTTTTACTTTAACTAAAAACAGCTCAGTTATAAATAAAACTAAGAATTTTAGGAAGAAGCAGATGGAAATCTAGCTTGTGGGAGCAGTGCCTTGGTGTCAGAATGGCCTGAGCCTGGTTCCTCTGAACTCTCTGGCTGTGTGAGCTGGTTGAGCTCTCACTTTGGCACATGAGGCCCCCATGGCAGGGTGGTCTCAGTGTCCCACTGGAGTGGCAGCATTCTATTGCTTGGTGCTATAGGCCCAGGATCCAGTGGCCACCTGGGCAGAGCAGAGAGACACAGAAATGCCAGAGTTGCATTTAGGGTGGAATTACGGCCTACTGCTAACATCAATCTCAGAGGCAGGGGTGTTCCCTAAATATTTCCCATTAATAAGCTTATTAGTCCCATGACTCACAAATGTCACCGTGTTTCTACAGCTCCCTGTATGAACACCCTGTCAGGATCCCCTGTGTGGGGAGAGTTTCCTAAGTGTTTCCAGTCCCCGATGACTTCTGCTCTCAGAACTGCCTCAGGAGCCCAGGCCACACACCACAGGGGCTCCTGTCACCTTGCTCCGGGGCGCATCCTCAAGCTGCTGCATCATGCTGTACCTCCCTCAGCAGGAGGGCCAGCAGAAACTACAGAAGCTCAAGCTACAGCCTGAGTGGGTGGTAGGCCCAGGAGGGACAGAGCTCCGTGGGAAGGCAGAGGCACACAGAGGCCTGCAGGCTGGTGACACTGGAGGCAAGTGTGCAAGGTCCCGAGGCTCCCAGGTACACCTGGAACAGCAGATGGGGCAGTGAGGCCGCAGAGGAAAGGCCAGGACATCAGCGCAAACCTTTGGGCTCCCTGGAAACCCAGCATCTGAAGGTGCAGTATAGTCCTGACTGCAAGGGAAAGGCTCTGTGCAATGAGGGCTGCTGGTCCCTCAGATGGCCTATCTTACTAGTCTTTCACCAGCCAAATGTGCCTCCAGACACCATAAACAGATTCAAGTACACCTGCACACACGTGTACTCATGTACACATATGTGTGAACCTGCAGGTAATGTGTACACCTGCTCACACACTGTATTAGCCCTGTTAAAGCCTTCCACACCCTCTCTACTACAGGGCTCTTCTCACTGGGGAAGACTCACCCTTCAGGCTTCTGAAGTAACCCCCCCCAAAACACCCCCCACAGGGGTAGGGGGGCCTTCACGTGGCAGTGGTTGTGAAAGAGTTCTGCAGTGTGTGCTGCTATTTAGCTTGTTGCAGGTTTGGAGGGGCAAGTCTCTGTGGCAAACAGGCCTTGCCCACTGTCCCTCTGACCTGACGCTTCCTATCGTAAGGCCAAGGGCAAGCCCTGGACACTGGCCAGGCCACCTGCATCTCTCAGCAACAAACACTGATAAACCTGGATTACCTCATTTCTTTGTTTCTTTTGTGGGTTTGAAATAGTGCTTGCTAGGCAAGCATTCTACCACTTGAACCACACACCTAGCCCTTTTTTGCTTGAGTTTATTTTTCAGATAGGGTCTCTTGCTTTTGCCCCAGCAGGTTTCAGACCACAATTCTCCTACTTCTGCCTCCTGAGTAGCTGGAACCATAGGTGCGCAGTAACTTTTAGTTGGCTTTGTTTTGTTCTGTAGTACTGGAGTTTGAACTCAAGGCCTCACACTTGCTAGGCAGGTGCTCTACCTCTGGGTCTTGCTAACGTTGTGCTCAGGCTTGCCTGGAAATAACACTTCCCAAGTAGCTGAGATTACAGGTATGTAACACCACACCCAGCCAGATCATTTTGCTTCTAATAAGCAGATTTAGTAGCAAAGCTGGGAAAGATTAACCTGGACCCCCAAGTCATGGCTAACAGAAGTATGGGATTCTGGTCAGAGGAAGGGCAGCTTTCCTCTGGTAGAGGAAGTCAGAATGGTGAAAGGGAGAGGCTTGGCCATGACGTCCCAAACCACACCTATCCAAGCTCTCTGGGCAGGAGGAGGCTGAGAAGGGGATGCACTCAAGAGACTTTTAATCATCCGCTTGCGACTGCCTCCGCTCAGCTCAGGTTTGCTATATCCTAGACAAACCTAAAAACCATGCCATGTTTTGAAATCTTAAATAAAAACGTTAGGTATTACAATGTAGCCATTATTTTGAAATCATTTCACATGTAAAAGATTCCTTAATAAAGAATTTACGGTCAAATTGTAGCTATTTTTAACAAACTGGAATCACAGGGACTTGTTTCTGAGCAGGCTCTGCCCTACTCTGGTTCTCCCAATGAGCCCCCCACCCCAGGACAGGCACCTCCTGGCACACAGCACTGCTGACCAAACTACTTCCCATGTGGTCCACACAGCTGTCCAACCTGAGGGCCTGTAACATCCGAAACCTCAGGTTCTAAACCTGTAGCATTATTACAAAGGCATAACATGACCAGCCTGAATGGTGCATGAAAAGAGGAACGTGTTCCCAAGTGGGAATCCATGCAAAAAGTCATGACTTTTAAACATTTCTATGTTAAAGACACTGGGCCTGTTTGTCTTCTTGTCTCCCAGTGAGGAAGCTAGAAGACCAGGACCAAGAGGGCCCGCCTGAGTTCTGACCATGTTGTTCCTATGGGGAGGCACACACGAGCCACCACCTCGGCTGGCTGGCATGAAGAGGCTCAGTGGCTGAGTCACAGGTTCTGTCTCCAGGTGCAAGAAAGACAAAATAGACTGGCCTACTATGGCCATGCTGTATCCACAAGCCTCTGGTTCACACACAGGAGGTGCTGGGCTGGCTGGCCAGCCCTTCCCGCAGCAGCAGGGACAAACATGCAGCTGTTCTACTGCCATGGCTGGAGTGCAGATCGTGCCCATCTCCAGCACTGGGAGAGGTGGCTCCCAGTGTTTTTGAGGAGTCCTAAAAACACAGGGTGATAACTGTGAGGTGGACAGATACAGGTATGGGCCACCCTCACCAAGTGGTGGTACTGTGGCCTGAGCAAGTCTTCTCAATCCCTCTTTAGC